TATTTTGATTCGTGTTCTTTTGTCTTTTTACAAATATTAAAATAAAAAAATTAATGAAAAAACAAAACAATTACTTTAAGAGAAGTGAAAGAACTTCTTATATAAACTTTGTTTCAGAGTGTTGAATGGTTTTTTTTGTCATCACAGTTGGAGCTTTACATTTGGTGATCAGCAGGTTTCAAATGCAGGTAAACACAGTATATTTCATGACCATTCTCCTGTTCTATGCTCTTTGGAATTATGCATTAGGGAATAAATTAGGAATAGCAGTGGCAATGATGGTTCATGTACATAACATTTTTTTTTTTTTACTAGCTTTAGTAAGCATTATGAAACCAAATACACTGAATAATTTAACGTATTTAGTGACTTCACATTTACTAGCAATACAGGTACCTTTTACTCCAATAAAATAATACAGACTTTTCCATTATTTAATTAAACTCTGCTGAAAATACAAAATAAATATGTTGTACAAGACTTCTAGTTTTGTAACATAATTTCATTAATGATGTTAGTCAAGGTCAGTGGCACAAGATGCTTTACATGTACAGAATTCTCATGTCTTTGTAATGTCTTTTCTGTATTTGTATGCTAGTGTGCATGCTTTTCTGTCTGGTGCCCTCTGACTCAGTTCCTCAAAGGCAGATGATAAATATTTAGCTCCCAGAACCTTTGCTTTTCTGCCATGTGAATGGAGTGGCATTATTTGAATCTCAGATGAAATGTTTAGGTACAGACTCATTCTTGAATTTTATTTCAAATAGCACTTCTGGGAAAATCATGTAATAAAGTACTTACTGATGATAAGTGCACAGGTGGCCAATAAGTGAATTGATATTTATTATCACAGAATGCCTGAGATTGAAAGACCCTCCAGAGATCATCTTGCCCCTCTTCAAAGAATCAACTCTATTGCCCGGTTGATTTTTTTAGTATCTTCAAGGATAAGACTCCATGACCTTCTCTGGGCAGACTCTTCCAGTTTAGTCACTCTCATGATTTTGGTTTTGGTTTGTTTTTTTTTCTCTTAGGATGAGACAGAATTTCCTGTATTTCAGTTTGTACTCTGCCTTTTGTGGTGTCACTGAGCATCACTGAGAAGAGTCTTCTTCCTTACTCCCCCCATCAGATATTTGTGCACATAGACAAGATGCCCTTGAGCCTTGTTTTCTCACAGCTGAACACTCAAACCTCTCAGTTTCTCCCCACACAGCAGCTTCTTCAGTCCCTTCTACATCCTTCAGTCCTGACCTCCACCATCTCGTGCTCACTGCAGCCACTGTCATGGAGGTTAAATCCTTTTGATTAATAGCAGCTGCAGAATCAGTTGTTGACTTGCAGGATCCATCCCCTCCTCCTCAATATGTGCATTGTGTTTGTTTGGCTGGGTGTATTCGTGTCTCTTACTGTGTTACCACAGCAGCCAGCAAGGCACATCCATGGGAAGGGAGGAGCTTTGCTTTCAGCAGCACCACAAGCTCTGAGGGGTTTCTTTGTACGCACATGCTCTCTTGTGGGACTGTTCTTTATATTCCACATTGCACAGTTACTTCCTTTGCTCTGAGTAGTTCCACTCCTGGAACTTGTGTAAGTGGTTCAGATGTACTGCTGTTGTTCTCAAGCACTGTGCAAATCATTACATTACTGTGCAAATCAGGGTGTGAATGAAGATTTCTCCAAATCCCTAAAAATCCCTAAACTGGTATTTAGGATGGGAATGGCTGAGGTGCTCACCTCAAACTGAAAAATCAGGAATTTGGCTGAGTCTGATAATACAGACATCTGAGTTACTTCCATGTAACTTGAGAGCTGTCTTTCATTAACCTCCATACAGCTTTCTTCCCCTTCTGCCCCTCACTCAGTTTTCTGAAATTCACTTGTGTGCTTGCAGAGTATTGAGAGTTGTCATTTATCACAGTAAAGTCAGGAGTTGGAAGTTGCAAAACTTTCTGTGTTGTAGTTACTGATTCTGTGTGTCTTTAAATGGCTTGGTAAAGGTAGAATAAGCAAGTGCTGACAGTTGTTTGGAACAGGTACAAATATACAGATACACATTTTGTGCACAGAGATAGGTGTAGATGTAGCTCTCCCAGCCCTCTGTCCTGCTGATGCCCTGCTGCTGAGACTTTTGCTGAATGAAAGCAGAAGGAATGACATCTGCTACAAGAGATATGCTGCAAGGTACAAGTGGCCAGAGCCCTTGCCTCACCCCCAGCCAAGTTCCAGTAGGATTAACATTTCCTAAGAGCAAACCAAAGCATTGCAGAGCTGGATTATTTACTAAAATGACTGTTAGCTGTCAAATTTGAATCCCAATGGGAATATTTACCTGTAAGAAAGTTGGCTACAGGTTTTGTTGGAACCTTTCTCTATTTATTAATGTCGCCTTGAAAGCAATATCCAGGAATGTTGCGTTTGGAGAGTGCAGTATGAAAGAGAAAACAAAAAAAACTACTTTCTGGTACTTTTAAAACATTTCTGTTTCCCTTGATTATGATATTCCACAAAAAAACCCCGAAACCCAGTAAAATCTAATTATGTCATATTATAAATAAATTAATCTGAGAGGTCTTGTGCTATCTTTTAATATTAATCTAAATTTGACACAAATAGAAATTTTTCTTAGGTTTTTCTGAGGAAATGGAAAATGTATTCATTTATTCTGTGCAAAATATATTTTTAATATGCATAATTTTCAATATATCAAAGAAAGATGGATATCAGCATGCTGTTTGAATTATTAAAATGCATTTTTCTTTTTACTTTTGACAGTTTAGTCAAAACAATTAATTAAAATTAATGTTAGTTCATAAGTAAATGAGGACTACAAACCCAGCTATTTAATAACATAGGACTAAGCTCAGCTTAATTACCTGTCAGTTGCAATGAGCTACGAACATAAATACAGATGGCTCCTATGGTTGCATTGATGGCAATAATTTGCTTGTTGACTACACTCTGAGAGACTGCGGTGAAATACAAAAAGAGGGTTAAAAGGTGGATTGCTGCACATCAATAAAGTTGCTGCAGGTGGAACAGACACTCTAGTGAACATCAGAGCATGGACATCAATTTCTATTATATTCCAGCAACTGCAATCAATATCTTACTGTTTTTAAATTGAATCTATTTATTTTTAAATATTTATTTTGACATTTCTGTAAAGTCTTATAGAATAAATGCTACATCAAAATAAAGTTGCTTTTCAAGAAAACTTCCCTTGTTAAAAGTTGTAGGACATACTATTTAGCAAGTTAGCAGGCATCTTTAGGAGACTTATTCATGTCAGTTGTAATTTTAGTAGTTTTTTTCTTTTTAGAAATACAGAGTTAATTTATTTCATTAAATCTCGGCTGACTCTTTCAAGCTGTTGATACACCCATGCTCATAGTAAACTAAGAAGTGGAAATACCAAAACTTCAATATTTTGAAAGATGCAGTCCCACCTGTGTGATTTGTTCAACCACTAGAGAAGAAGGAAGGAGTTCTGATACCTTCACTCTGTCCTTTGTTCTTGTGCTGAAAAGTGTCTTGATTACCACTGGTAAATAGAAAATGGTAACTTCTGTATTTTGTTTTCAACAGGTTTCCATTTCGGGTTGCTGGAACAGCAGACAATTGTCTTCTTACCTTATACCCATACTTGGCATTGCACTGCTCTGATCAAAAAATTATCTGGAGAAGCAGTAAGCAGTAAACAGTACCTCTGAAATTATATGATGTCCATTAGTATTAACAGTGTTTTCAGAGTGACAACAGGAATCCATCATCATCAATTTTCCCTCATTTATTGCAGGGGGATGCTGCAATTAAACTTTTAAAACTATTTGATAGCTTCAGTTTTCTTGCTGAAAATGAGGACAAGTTATATAAATTGTTAGATAATATTTATTGAAAAATATTGAACAAACAAAAATCTTACAGAATGTTTTGTGAAATGTTCTAAATATGAATAAGGAAAACAGTCCAAACATTAGAGAATAAGTTAACTTAATTTGAATTGTATTGATAGGCAGTGATCATATGTTTTGAAGAAAGCAAAAGAGAAACCACATGATGTAATTTTAAAATTTGATCATTATTTGCCTGTTGGGAATAGTTTTCAGAGTTTTTTAACTCCTTTCCTTGAAGGGAGAAGGTCACAGCTATCTTTTAAGGCCTAATAAAAACCTGTGGTCAGAGAGCAGAAATATTTTTATCAGCACTATGTCTCCCTGCTTGCCTCCCTCTGTCTGCCTCTGTCTTTAAATCTCTGCCTGTGTCCCCCTCCTGAACCCATCTCTGCTGCCTCAGTGATCTGCAATCTCTGTGTGTGGCTGTGCTTTTGGGAAGAGGTTGGGATCATTGTATAATTCAGGTTGGAAGGGATCCCTGGGGGCCATCTAGTCCAGCCTGCTTAAAGCAGCTTCAATGTGGGGCAAAAGATTATGTTTTTTTATAGCTGTATATGTGATCTGTGTTTTGATGACATAGAGAAGTTTTTCAGATAAGTAAGTAAGTCCTTAGATCTGAGACAGATTTAGCCTCAAAGACTGAATTGTAAGACTGCATTAACCTAAAGCAAGTGTGTCACTCTGAGTATTTAAGAGAAAAGATAATTGATACTTGGGAAATTGAGAAAGGGATTAGCAAGAAGACAGGTAATGTTTTGGTCTTTCTCAAAGAAATGGAAGAAGATTGGTAAAGGTACCATATCATTCAGGGATCATAGCACAATTAAATGAAGAAGGAAGGGGAAAGAAGTATTTTCTCCTATTAATGTGTAATTTTTTTTGTTTGTTTTCTATATTTTTTGTGATCAATAGACCATTTTTGCAATCCACTGAGATTTAAGCCAAAAATGGAGTGATGGTTTTATAATAAAGGATCTCCCATTAATAATGGGGTATTTGTCCTTTCATTACTTATTGGTTTGTTCACACTTCAGTTTGTGTCAGTTTTGAAGCAAGCCATTATTGCTAAATTCTTTGAGTCTTTTTTTATATGATTTTGTATAGACTGTGTTGGTGTGGAATGGTGTTTAATGTGAGCAAACCATATCTGTACAACACAGTGTCTTTGGAAGGTATGCAGGAAGGCTTTGCCTTCACTCACACACCATGCTCTTATTTCCTACAAATGATAAAAATAACAGTGCCAGCAATCAAAAGTTTAAAGATAATCATAGAGACTTCTTCCTTCTCTTAGTGGTGTGTTTCCTTTTCTGGAAACTACCTTTGATGCCCCTTTTATTTTGGACTGACAAAAGATGGGCCTCTAATCCTATATTAGGCAAACATGAGAATGTCAGAACCACTGATGGATTGATAAAGTTTACTTCTGAGTTTGGTTTGTAAAATACATGTTGAGTCTGAATGAGCTTGATAATGATGTACTGAGACTCATTACACAGCTGTGAACAAGAAGTCCTTAAGAATATTTTGTTCATGTCACAGAATTCTTGAACTAGCATTGTTCTGATAGGTGCTTGTCAGCAAATACGAAGATGCATCCTATAAAATATACAGTTAATGGGGAAAAGAAAAACAAACCTTGAAATTTTTTCTGGACCCCAGTCTAATGACCAAATAAGATTTTTATGAGTCAGATAGGAACTGTTACTTGATTAATTGAAGCATGAAGTAGAAAAATACAGAAATAGATATTAATTTATAATTTGTTAGAGCGCAGACAGTAAAATGTGTTTTCTCAACTGCAACTTGAATCTTTTTTTACAGACAATCAAGACTTCAGCACTGGAGAAATTGTTTTACAGCCATGTTTTACACCACGATCATCATCACATAGTTATTCCACAAGTTCTTTGGGTGTAGCTAGTGACTCAATCTATGAAGATTCTTCATCAGGTATAGTGCAGCACATAAAATCAATGATCTTATAAAGAATGAGCCTCTTTCTCCACATTGTATTGTTTTTCTTCTTAAATCCCAGTAAGATTTTTTTTTTATTCACAAAGGTATCAATTAAATTTATTTTTACATAATTTAATGAAAATGCAACAGTGGTATTAAAATACCACTTAAATTGGTATTGTTTTTCTTCTTAAATCCCAGCAAGATTTTTTTTTTAATTCACAAAGGTATCAATTAAATTTATTTTTACATATTTTAATGAAAATGCAACAGTGGTATTAAAATACACCTTCTAGGATGGAGTCACCTAAGTTATTTGTGCTATAAGGAAAATCATTGTTTGTTTCCTTAGTTACCTTTTTGTGCAATGATATTGTTGATGTTAACAACTAATAGTTGTTAAAATATATATGTTATGAACAGATCAGAATTTAGGAGGGAGAAAGCCTAACAGAGGGGAGAAAAGTTGAAGGGTTTATAGATGTAGTGAGAATTATACCTGTACAATAATTCTAAAAGTGAACTTGCAGTGACTGACAGGCAAAGCTGTGTCTGTTGGAACTGTGTGTGAGACTGATCCTTTTTAGATTCTGGATGTAGTTTTGCAAGCCATTCCTGAATTTATTTTTTGCTGGTTGGGTAATGCTTTTTTCTGAAAGTGAAATTAGATTTCAGTGTATCATTTGTTCTATTATTAAGACATGTGTATGTAATTTAAATTGTTTTTTCCTAAAATAAGTTGATTGTTTGTTGTCTGGCAGTTTTTTGTACTTTGTTGAATATTTTGGTACTAGACAAAAATGGGGAAATAAGAAATCTTTCTGGATGTTTTATTTTGTGTGTATCATTCAGAGAGTACCACTTGTGAAAGTGAGAGCAATGAACAAGAGAGTGACGAGAGCGAAGAAATAAGAGAAGGGAGTGAAAGTGACAGTCAGGGTGATGGGAGAGGAAATAAACGTGAATTATCATTTTTTCCTGACGAAGATAAGGAGGAGTACACCTTCTTTCAAAAGACCCTGAAAGCTGTGAAGAGTTGGTTCACACTGTTTGGCTGGTCTAAGGGACAAAATCCCATTTCAGTACCTCACTCACTGAGACGGTAATTCATGCCTGCTTCGAGCTAACTCCTGTCTGTCTCATAACAGGCTAACAGATGTCTGTCTCATAACATGCTCTAATGCAGTTTTCCATCAAAACTGTAGCATCTATATGGTGCTTATATGAAAATGTCATCCAGGTGTTAGTTTTTATTTTCTAAAATATATTTTCAACTGTGATACCATGTATCATAATGTAGTGTATGTTAAATGTGCAGTTCAAACTATATGTCACCTTCTTAACTGAAATTGATTCTCCTCTGAGAGTCAAAACTTTTCTAGCCTTTGTCCCTTCTTTGGTGGCATAAGTAAGTGCTTTAACAATATGTGTTTTTCCCCCACATAATCTAAAGATCAAGAAACAGATGAGAAATAATATTTTATAATTAAGAGTCTTACAAGAACCCTGGAAATTTATCAGTGGTGGTGGCCTCACTTATTTGATCTTTTCTGTCTTGGTACTAAATAGTGAAGAAGCCACTCTCCTGGGAAATAATCATGTAGACATTTATAAACATGATAAAAATCCAAGTTATATTTGCAGAAAGCTTTTAATTATGAAGGAATAAATATTCCATGCAGTTCAAAATTCTTACTTTATTATGAATGTTCTGTAAAGATAGAAGTGCTGCACTTTTCAACCTTCCTTGCTGCTGTTTTTAATTCATGGTTTATTAAATTAGTGTTGTGATACATGTAATTGTAGCTCATTTTGTGCATTTAGAAGAATAATATCAAAGGCTTTTTCTCTCCTAGTGATGTGTGTATAGTCCAGCTAACTGTTGCACAAGAAAAGAATTTTAAACGAAAGGTTGACAAATATAAGGGATTTTATGAGATGATATTGCATCTGAATGGACAACCAATACCAGGCATTGCAGCGAGCCAGTCATTGCCCCCTGATTCAGTAGAAAGAATGTTCCAACTCCACTGGCAGCATTCTGAATTGCTTTCCCACCTTAAGTAAGTACAAGTATCATGTGATGTCCATGAGTGCGTATTTTCTTTCCAATTTTATAATTAGCATATTTCAAGCCTTGTTCTGTCTGGAAAAACAGATGGTTTAGGGTTTCCTTTATTTTTGTGAGAAGAGATGTATATATTTTAACCTTTATTTTTTCCAAGGTTATCTGCAGTTTACACTAATAAGTGTCCTTCAGCAGGGTTATATCCAGCACAGGAATTCCATAGGAACTCTGCTTCTTTAACTGCAAAAGATGACTCATAAACTTTCTTCTTAGACAGACTCAGTAGACAGATCAAGTTTTCCATTAGTGATGTCACCATTCCACTGATGCTCTTGGTGGAGCCTGATGACTCTTATGTGCAGTCTTCCCACTGAGATTTTCCAGGAATCTAGGAATCTTGAAACTAGCATAAATGATGTTTGTTGAATACTTTAAAATGATGAGTTGTGGGGTAAGTGGATCCTAACCCTTTTTGCTAAAAATAACAGCAGTTGGAAAGAACTACTTAAGTGTTTCTAATGTGTTTCTTGGGATTTTTTTAAAGCTCTTTAACAGCTAAATTTTTATAAAAGTCCTCAGTTTTACTGAGCTTTGGCTGTTAAGTCATGCATGTGTTGAGAGCAGAATTGAAGCAGCAGCCAGTTGGTCAAGGCTAAGTCCAGTGCTTCTGTATACAGATGTTTTGATGACTGATGGATGTTGAGGTCAAATGATCAGACGTGGAGTAGTAATCCATACCAATCCTGAAAAAACACCACAGGTTTTAATAGAAAAGCATTTCTAGCTGGACTCCTTTGCTTATATGTATTTTGATGATCTTGGAGGTCTTTTCCAATCGGAACTCTTCTATAATTAATTTGATGCTCATTCTGTGCTCGACATTACCACATCCTGTTTGTTTTCTACCTCTCCTAGTTTGTGTGAATTCTATAAGATTTCTTTGTGGCCCCTCATTTATGGATCTACTTTTCCTACTTATACATTTTAGGATCATCTAGAATATTTGTATTTCCTCACAGGTGTTTATAGATCAGGGTACAATGATGTCTGGTATCTGCACTGCTGGCATGACAGTGTAATGATGGGAAGACATCTGTATCCAGCTGAGATATGAGTAATCTATCTGTGATCTGCTATCCCTGCATGTTCACTGTGATTTGTGCTGTGGAAAGTCAGCAGATAGTTCTTAGCTTTCTTACACCAGCCACTACTTTCTGGTCAGGATGGTTCAAATAAAGCATAATTTGTATCTCAAATAGTCCACTTGTCAAAGCAGGTGAATGGTGCTTAGTGTTTCAAGCAACATTCCAAATATCAGTTTTATTGTCCTCCAGTCAAAAGGTTTCCTTGGCATTACCACAGCAGTAAAGGAAACACTTGGGTATCTTACAGTACAGCCAGCTTGTTGCAAGCCCTATATTTTGGGGAAAAATGTCTTAACATTGAAAATACTGATCTTGGACAACTGGCTTCATGTTTAATATTAACCTGAATGGGGGGGAGTTTTGTTAAGACAGTGTTCCATGGTAGTAAAATGCAGCCAATTACGAGAACATTCAGTTATACGGAACTTTGCTATGATGACATGTAACCTTGTTACATACTTGGAGTGAAAATTACAGATTACCCTTACTCCCGTGTATTTGCCAAGTAAAAACATCAAAAACAGGATACCTGAAAAGATTAATACTGTATAGCTTTCTTCTTTTTCACTTGGGAGGAGCTGAAGTTTAAAAGGGACTTAATAGAACAGTTTCTGGGTTAGTGGAAAATGGGAATTTCAGACATGGTGAGTTTTAGAACCAGACTTCTAACTTGGTGCTGTTTTTGTGTCCCTGGTTAAAATATTTTTGTTTTAAAAAATATTGTAGATAATTATATAAATCATGAAATTTCCATAATTTGAAAAGATAAAGAATAATTTTCCAAGTGAAATATGGAAACTGAAATTTCACTCTTACTAGAAAAATATAATTCTGGGAGAAGAGTAATAACTTGTCATGATCCTAATTGCAAACTCTGATATTTGACTTCTAATATACAAATTAAATTTATTTTGAACTGTATGGTACTGAAAAGTATGATCATTTAATTTGAATAAAAGGCTGGTTACATAAGAAGAAATGCTAGTTTAATTTTTATTCCCATTAACCATTTTAAAAACTCAAGAGAAAAATTTAAATCTAGATATGCTATGATAATCTTCCTGACCTAAAAGTCAGGAAGATTTCTGTTTTCCTGAGAAAAATTAGCTTCAAAATGCTACATTGTTTTCCTTTCTTTTAAGCAGATTTGTTTAAACTATGTCATTTGAGATAAAGAATAGCCTTTCTTCACTTGGAAAATAACTTTTTTGGTATTCAGTTAAATGAAGTTGCCTTTTGTTACAGCAATTACTTTTCTTGTTGCATTTATAAGCAACTTGAGAAGAGATATCCATTGAGAGTTTTGAAATACCTTTGATTACACCCATTTGACTTCCAGTATCATTTGTAAATATGGAACTGCAGATAGAAGCATCAAGTTTTAATTCTGCTGATGTTATCAACACTGGTCACTTGGCATTCACATGGAAATGGCTATTATTTGTTTTCATGTTTTGTGTTATAATAAATCCTTCATGGAGGAGCAATGCTCATAAAGAAGCCAATTTGAGAGTTGTATGTTCTTTTAGCGTGTAGTTTTAGCCATAGGAATTGAACATGAGTTACTATCCATGAAGCTCATCTAAGCAATTAATGAAGGTGGATCACTAGTCCAGAGGCTATTCAGGTAGAGAAGATTGCACAAAGGTTGAACAACTTGAAAGAACTTGATTTCTCTTAAAAATAATTATAATTTCTATTTACTTTTCCTGCTTTGTGATTTCAGAAGCCAAGGAGCATATCTTTCTCATGTTATGCCAGAATTTCTGCTTTCACCTGAAGATTATGAGATATGGACGGAAGTGAATACTGGACTGAGGGTAGGTAGGTTTGGTGTTTCTTCTCTTTTAAACAAATCCCACATGCTTAGTTTCAGTCTTTTGAATACTAGTGGAAGTTCTTGGTGAACAATGAGTGTACTTACTGTGGTGACTGTTTTGGATTGCATAAATCTAAGCACATGTGTGAGACTAAGTAGGAATTTAAGTTGACTCCCACATTTACGTTGGTTTCCCTGTTTTTTTTTCAATTCCTTCTGATACTGTTGATACCTGATATTAATGTCCAACAGGTGTGTTTTAAAGTAGAGATCAGATTATCATACAGATTTTACCGTTTTTAAGTATTTTGTGTGTTTTCCCTGTTTCCTGATTGTTGCTTTCAACTTTTGTCAATTCTTTATTATGGTTCTTACTCCTGAACTGCAAATGGCTTTAATGTTGGTCACTATTGCACTATAGTAGATATTATCACTCATTTATGCCATTGATTCATTATTGTCCTCTTGTGAATTTCCTATCCAAACTGATGAAATGAATATTGAAATAAAGTTCCCATCCTTTTATCTGTAGTGTTTTACACCTGAAGTGAAGAGAGGAAGCATGAGGAGCTCAGGCAAATTAAGTGGCAGGCCTATTTTTGTTCTGGAGGACAGAACGTTTGAGACAATGAGCAAACGAGCTTGGACAGATGTGCTGCTGCAGATATACAAGGTAAATCACAGATATATTTACTACCAGATTCTAAGGAACTGATAGCCAAAAGCTTTATTTTGAAGAAGACCTATGGTATATTGGAGGTTTATTTTTTTCCGAACACATTTTTAAAACAAAATACTTGTAAGTATTTTTTTTCTCTCTAAGAGAGAAGGAAAAAGAGAGAGTGAGAATATTTTAATTTTCTTTAAAGCTTTATAATTGTGTTACTATATTCCAATAAGGAAATGTTATATTAGAACAGTCTGCATTTTGTAGAGTTAAATGTTATATAAATATTAGTGCAAGTAAAGAAATCTCTGTCATGCTTTTGTGTTACTTTGCTTAGAAACATTTTTACTAGATATAATTGTCTAGATGTATAACTGTGGCATTTATTACCTTACATTTCAATGGAATTTTTAAACAGCTGAGCATTTTTTTATGATACCTATTTCTTTTAAAATAAGATCAACTTGTTTGGTATAGACTTCTCAAATTTTGTTCAATTTTATTTTTATTGATGGTAGAGAAAAAAAACTTGAGTGTCATGTTTTCCAAAGTAAAACTTCTGTGCTCATCAATGATCAGTAGCATTTATGTATTTAAAAGGAAAAATTATTTCTGTTCCAAGGCATGGAAAATAGATTAAAAATATAGCTAATATTTGTGCTTCCCAGTACAAGACAGAGATGGATGTACTGGAGCGTGACTTCAATGAAGGATCCCACAAATGATTTAAGAGACTGGAGCATCTGTCATTTAGGGAGAGACTGAAAGAGCTGAGACTGTTCAGCCAGGAGAAGAGAAGGCTCAGGCAGGGAGTTGTATCTAGGAAATGTATTTCAATACCTGAGGGGAGGTTGCTTGTAAAGAGGACAGTGCCAGACTCCTCAGTAATGCCTCATGACATGATAAGAGGCACCAGGCACAAACTGAGATGCAGGAAATGCCTTTAAACTTAAGAAAACTTTTTTCCTGTTGAAGTCACACACTAGAATGTGACCACTAGAATGGATGTCCTGAGGGGTTAGTGGAGTTAACTGTCCTTGGAAATATCCAAAGCCCAGAGGAATGCAATCCTGGTAAAGCACTCTGATTGTTCTTGGAGCATGAGGTTTGGCCAGGCAATCTTCAGAGCCACCTTCCAGCTATTCTCTGATTATGTGATTATTGATTTGGAAAGCACAATAAAAAATAGAGATGGAACAGTATGTATACATAGGCTGAGACAGATGACTTAAGAACACATGGGAACATGGGTGTGGAAAAATGCAATCATAGTTACCAGAAAGCAAATCACTTTGCTGTTCTTTCAATCTGCTGAAGTATTCACAGGTACATGACAGACTAGCACAGAGCAAAACCCCACCAAAATTAATAGTATTCATGTATGTTTTGTTGTTTGGGTTTTGTTTTTTTTTTCCTGAAGAGATGAAACCATAAAAAATGGGTAGCTTGAAATGCCTTGATTTAATCAGGTTTTATATCAGTCAGGTTATAAGAAATCAGGTTAAGAAATCTTCAGTATCAATCTAGGCTGGGGGATGAACAGATAATGAGCAGCTCCACAGAGAAGGATTTGGAGGTGCTGGTGGATGAGAGGCTGGACATGAGCCACCCCTGTGCACTTGCATCCCAGAAAACCAATTTTGCCCTGAATTTTATTTTAGGCCTTTGATGTGAATCTTTTCATGAGAAACAATCAGTGTAATTTGGACCTAAATAAGTGACTGGGTCAGGAAAGGTACAATTTGAATGTCTATAGATTGTGCTGGACATCAGTGTAAGTAGCTCAGCAATTAGTGTTTTGGATAGAATATGTAGAGTAATTCTTGGAATACAGATGGCCTAGTGGTTTCACAGGGTTCATCAAAACTTGGAGAAAAGTTGAAAACAAAAAATATTTGGAATCATGGAAGGGACCATGGAAGGAGCACTGAGTCCAACTCCCTGCTCTTCACAGGACTACCTAAACTAAACCATGTGACTTAAAGCAGATGCTCCCTGACCTCTGAATGAGTTGGTGCCATGATCACTTCCAACCTGTTCTGGTGACTGACCACCCACTGAGTGCAGAACCTTTGCCTAAGATCCAAACTTGTCCTGTTGCAGCTTCATTCCATTTCCTCGTGTCTGTATTGCTGATCATTAGAGAGAGGAGATTGGCACCTCCCTCTTCTCTGCTCTCCTTGAGGAATTTGTAGACTGTGGTTAGGTCACTCTTCAGCCATCTCCAAGCTGAACAAACCAAGTGATTTCAGTGGCTTCTCATTTGTCTTGCCCTTGAGACCTTTCACCATCCTGTGCAGTGGTTATGTGGCTGCTAATGTGCAATCTCCTAAGTCTTTCCTAAATTAGAAAACCTCTCGACTTTGAAGTGTTTGTTTTTGGTTCTTTTTCCGTCAGCTCAAAATTCTTTTTACAGTTCATGCTTTAAAACATTTTTTATCATTTCAGGTGTTTGTTCTTCCACGGGTTTCTTCCTGTATTGTTTCTGACCCATCAAGCTTGGAAAACTTGCAGAACATACCAGGAATAAAATCAGAACCTTTATCCAGTAATATATATTCTCGACATGAACGAACTGTCCTCATCTGGTTGAATAAACATTATGAGAAAAATCGAAAAATTGTGTGGAAAGATAGTCAAAGAGGTGAGCAGATGCTCTCACTATGTTCTTTCTTCTCATATTCCATTTGTAGACTTTTGCAATTGTTACTCATAGAGATATTGTGACAAGTTGCCACCAAAAGTGTTTATTTGGTATAAGTTATTGCCTACCCATATGTATTTAATTTCCTTGTGTTCCTGTGTTCCAAAATCAGCATTTTTTCATTAGCTGTGTTCTGTGTTCTGTGTTCTGTGTTCTGTGTTCTGTGTTCTGTGTTCTGTGTGTTCTTACAGTTTTTAACTAGGCATAAAGGGTGATGTGAACCTTCTCACTTTCTTCTTTTCATTGAGGTTGTCAGGAAGTGCTAACAGTAATTTATCTTAATATTCCTGTTTATAGTCAGACACAGTTGTTACTATGTGTGCTCATAGTTCTATGTTTGAGAGGTAGCTTTTCAGAATTTTTAGAAGATTTTTGTATGTCCTTTATTCCATGATATTAGGGAAGGCAGTAGAGACCAAGGTTTCAGATTACAAATCTTGTCCTGCTTGCAAGGGCAGGTTGACTCTCATGATTGCTTGAGTAAGGTTAGATAAAATTACCCTTTCCATTTAAGACTGATCTAGGCAGTTCTGGTATTCAAATCTGATAAACTGTTCAACCACTAGTAATTATTACTTCTATTTTCATTCATGATTTTTAGTTTTTGCATCTTGACCCTAACTAACCTTTTTCAGTAGTAATTTTGGGTGTGTGGTGAACACCAAGAAAGGCCAATCTGGTGATAGGCAGGGATGACTTCCAGAATGGCTCATAAGCCATATAGACAAAAAAAAATTCTGGTGTTATTTTTTGCCTCAAGCGATTTCTGACTTCTTTCAGTTAGGGATAATTTATTTGGATGTCACCTTCCATAAGTCTCATTTTGGCAGAATCTCTATCTTGCATATGCTTTGACTATCCCTTTGCTTTTTTCATTTTACTGTGAAGAAAACTGTAATGGCTATTCTCAAATATGTTGAATACTTCCGCTGGTAAGATTGAAACGTTAGTCTGTACCTCCTGCATCCAACAGAAACTAGCTCTTTTTGTATAGTCTGGGTCTGGTCTTATGATTAACTCAGGGAGCTCCCTAGCTAAATAGCATGCCCAGCAGTAGGTGGGTGTGTTTGCAATATATTATTTTTTATTATCTGTGCCTGCATTAGTGGAGCTTTCTTACAGCTGCAAGCTCTGCTCTGCTGGGGTTTTCTGAGCCCTCTGTGTGTAGATGGCAACTTGGAGAGAGAATGGCTCTGTCTGGCCAGGGTTGTGGCTCACTGTAAATGCTGCATGGATAAATTCCTCATCCCCTCTGTCTGTTCTCTGGATTGCAGGCTCCAGTAATACCTGGGTGTAGAGGCATGTTCTGGTCTGTGGGAGCTCAATGGGGAGAATCTGAGTGCCAAAATATTTTTCATTTAAAATTAAACTTTTAATTGAGTTGTAGTCTCTTAAGATGTGAAGAGTGAATCTGAATCCTAAAGTGCAGATTGAGTGAACATTACCAGACAAAAAAGCTGCAGATGTCCAAGTGGAGTATGTACTAAGGATGCATTAAAGGAGCCAATTATTGAGAGTGTTATTTTAGTTGCCTAAGAGTATGTAATGAGTAGTAATATAAAAATGAGGGGTCTGTTTTTAATAAGTCATGATATAGTTATCAGCATTGTAAAGTAGGGGTTTTTTGCAATTTTTTAGCTCAAAAGGCTCCCCAAAATTGGCACCCAAAAAGAACAGTTTAATTACAATATTGGTATTCTCAGAAAACAATAATAAATTCTGCTAAATCATGCTGTCAGTACAGGTAACTCACTAGGTTGATATATTAGTGCAGATCTGATTGTAGCTTTGACTTTGGGTCACTGGTGAAGATGAATCCTGTGGTTACTACCAGGGGACATTTATGTGCATTATAGTTCTCTCCCACAATTTCACTGAATTACACTTCTCTGCTTTCAGAGAAGTGCAAGATTGGAATGAAAAGGCAGAGTTTATATACTTCCTGCATATGGGAAGTTACAGATACTGCCTTGCTATATCAACTTCTTTATAGGTTTTTTGGTGCATGAGTTCTGTATTCTCTTCTCTGTAGGGGACACAGAAAGAACTTGATGTGTGCATATAATCATGCACTTTTCTTTTGCTTATATTTCCATTTCTCTCGTCAAACTTGTCAAAAAGCATAAATGAGCTTTGGCAAAGATCCAATAATCCAAAGAAAGAGAGAAAATTCTGAAAAATTGTGAAATTCATAGTCTTACTTTTTTGCCTTTTCATTATGAAGGCATTTAGTTCTGCAAACTTACACTGTTTCAGAGATGACCTGCCTCAATGTCTCTTTGAATCCTCTGTTTCAGCCTTCACTTTCCTCTAGCTTGTTTTGCATCTGCTGCCTCAGAATGAATTGGTGTCTGCTACTGTGCTGTTCTTTCTGCCAGATGTGGCAAAGAATCTGAAGGCAAAGAACACAGAAAAGGCTTGAGGGACCCAATGCTTTCTTTTTTACCTTGGTTTTTACTGTTTAAGATTGAGCACTGAACAGTCCCAGGCCCTTGAGACGAATGGGAAAGTCTGGAACAAGGAAGATTTAGCCTTGGTGGAGGAGGATCAGATTAGGGAGCCACTGGATGACCACAAGCTCAGGAGATCCATGGGGTTCACCAAGTGCTCACAGGCCAGTGTCACAAGGTCACATTCAATATCCTTTGAAAGGTCAGGACAGTCCGAGGGGGGAAGTTAGGAAGAGATTCATTCCTGTCTGGAAAGAGAAACCAGGAAGCTTCAAAGCCAGTCACCCTCATCTTGTATTTTGGAATGCTGATGACTCCATCAAATAATCTTTGCAAACATTACCAAGCATAAATACAGTAAAATTTTAGTGAGTAGTTGCCATGAATTTCCAAAGGGACAGTCATGCTGGATCAGCCTGATTGCCTTCCATGACAAGAAAGCTCAGTGGACAGGGGGAGAGCATGGATGTTGTTTTTCTCAGCTTGGGCAAGGCTATCAACAGCCTCCTGTAACATCCTCAAAATCAAACTGGTGAAGCACAGGCCATTTAAGAGCCCAGTGAGGTGGACT